GCTGAGGTCACTGCAGGATGAGGAACTGATTGAGGTCCAGCTTCAGTGCGTGGTTTCCCACACCCGTTCACCGCCGGACCCCTGGCTCCTGCTCCCAACAGAGAGGAGGGCAGGAGGACAGGAGGACAGGAGGACAGAAGGACAGGAGGACAGGAGGGCAGGAGGGCAGGAGGACAGGAGGACAGGAGGACAGGAGGACAGGAGGGCAGGAGGACAGGAGGACAGGAGGACAGGAGGACAGGAAGGCAGGAGGACAGGAGGGCAGGAGGGCAGGAGGACAGGAGGACAGGAGGACAGGAGGACAGGAGACCAGGAGGCTGAGCAGCTTTCCTTTCCCAGGAGCTCGCATGGAGCGGTGGTGGACAGGGCGGAGGAGGTGTCCTGTGTCACATCGATGAAGACGTGGCTTTCAGTTCTCAGAGCTCTGCGCCCCACAACTGTCCATCCACTGCCAGTAAATTATGCTTCCCATACGCCATGAGAAAGGGTGATTATCTTCAAAAATGAACAAAGGAGACAAAGCCCCAATATGGCTGGAAAGATGCTTCCTGCTTCTGTCCCACGCCTTTGGCCACACTTCTTGTCCCTCTGGGGCCCCCTGACCCTAATATGGGAAGAAGCTAAGCAGGAGGACTGGGAGGGGGACCCCGGAGGCATTCTTAGCAGGGGAAGGGCCTGGCTGGACCAGCAGGGGCAGCAACAGGTGACAAGGACATGCGTGCTTCTTCCCCACAGAGGCCCTGGCCTCAGTGCCCTCGACCACATCTGCAGAGCAGGGGTGCCCGGGTTGACTTTGACCCTCTTAGTATTTTACGGGGGTCCTGCTGGGGTCTGGGGTGGCCAGCGCCACCTGGTCATGCCATTCTAGTCAAATATTCTCATCATCTTGTGTTTCTTGACAGGGAAGGTCTGGACAGCACTTCCTTACTGAACTTGGCCTCCCACCCGGCCCCACTGCTGTCCCTCAGGTTCTGGTCCCTTAGGAACCAGGTAGAATGATGCCTAGGACTCCAGGGAGCTGGGTGTGATGGCTGCAGTGACAACCACGAAGGGGCCACTCTGTGGGAGCCCTTAGTGCTGACCACTGCCCCACCACTTCCTGCTCCTCTGAGGCTGGCCGGGGCCTGGTGGTGGCATCTGAACCCTGAGACGCAGCCCAGGTTGTTGAGGGTTGGGCACAGGTGGCAAGGACACAGGGATGGCTTCAACTTACAGGCAGGAGGCCCGGACTCTGCGGGAGTTAAGGAGCTCACGATGCTGAAGAGCAGCTCAGCACAGTTACAGAGCTTACAGCTTCCACCACATCGGCCACTGTATCTGGAAGCAAGCAGTAAAAACCCAGCCAGTTCATCTCATTGACCAGGGAGAAGACGGTCCCAGAGAATGAGAGGAAGCCCCAGCCTTTCATTCTAGAACATTCTCAGTTCAGGTTCAAAGAGGCTGCTGTGGAAGGTCCCAGTTCTGGGAGGTCCAAGCCAAGTATTCTCTGAATCTCTTAGATGAACTGGGACAACTTCAGCGGCCACCCAAGGGCAGCTGGGGCAACACACTCATCTCCAGCAGTCGGTGGGGAAGGAAGGTGGGCGTCTTGGTAGAACACCTTCTATGCATCTGGGAATAAAGCCTGCAGAGGTGTCCCCTCAGCTTCCAGGGGACCTGCTGAGGATGGATTTGCCTGCTGGCCTTTGAGAGAGTATCAGAGGGTGACAATGGGGACTTAGATATAAAGAGAATCCAACAAAGGCACTCCCCTGGGAATCAGCAAAAGCACTTTGCAGGGTTGGAGTCACCCAGTGAGGGAAGCAGAGGAGCTTAGCATGCACAAGGCACCCAAGGAAAACTAAATAAAAGAAATGCTAGGGGTCCCAGTGGCCTGAACCGAGCTAGCAGCCTCCCTGCTATCGGAAATGCATCCTGGAAATCTAAAATAGGTGTAGGAACAAAGCCACACCCTCTCAGAGAAAAGGGGCTCCTGTGACCCGCTGTCGCCCAGGAGTCTCGGTGTTTCTGGAAAGCCAGTGTGCACGCTGGTCATGGACGAGCCCCGGCAGCTTCCATCTGAGCTCGGTCCTGTCTCAGTCTGGCCTCAGAGACGCCTGGGCATGGGGTGGGAGTGGGGTGGGGCATCGGGACCTCAGGATTATCAGGTGTGGAGGGCACTTGGGGGAGCCGAGTGTCTGTTTGTTGCCCTGTCTGTGTGCAGTAGGAAGATGCCATCTTCGGTGGAAAGAATTTGTCAACGCTCAGTTTTATTTCTGTTAAAAAGAATCGACATTGGGGTTGAGCACAGCGAGGGGTAACGTTCGGGAACACAGCACGTGCCCATGATTGTACACTGCATGTGCACGCTGGAGCCCTCACCACACACAGGACTCAAGTCCCGATCGTGTCCAGGGTCACGATGGTGGCAGGATTAATATTTCTGAGGGCCTGAGGGCCCATCATCTGGGTTTGGGGGCTCTAAGAAGCAGAGGCCAGGGAGCACCTGGTACAGAAGAGGGTTCACTAAAATTTGTAATTATTTTTGTTGACGAGAACAAAAATCCACCAAATAAGCAGAAAACCACATATTTGTGGTTGTAAGTGAGGTCACGGCTATGAATTCAGTCTGAACTTGATCTGGCTGTTTTATCAATACTCTGTGAATTTTCCCTTTCTGCCCGTGCTCTATTGCTGTCTGAGTGCACTGAATTCCCTCCAGAGAACTGTTGTTCCTGTGCTCCTGTGAAGGACTCAGACTGACATAAACTCCTAAGCTACCAGTTCAGATTCCAGAGGCGTGGACGAGGAAGTTTGTGAGGTGCTGGCAGCCACTTTGTGATCACGAGGGATCACAGAGCAGAGGCTCAGAAGCTCTGAGGTCCCTGGAAAACGGCTGCAGGAAGCTGCTCTGAGGCACATTGTGTGCCATTATGTGAAGCCATCAGTTGCCTTTATTTTCCTAAAGCTGGTCTGAGCCCACCTTCCTCCCACTTGCACCAGAGAGGTCTCCAGCCTAGAGCAATGAGGGCCTGTTTCTGTGTAGAGAGGTGCTTGAAAGGACTTTCAGGAGTGCGTTTATTTGTGAGGAAGAAAAGTGCAGGCCACTCTCATAGTTATTTCAATCAATTAGTGGAAACGCCCACTCCCGCCTCTGGTTCTAAAGTCTAATTTGAAACAGCACACACTTGATCTCCTGCTAATGGGCTCCATCCCATATTGGGTTGAGGGGGCTGCAGCTGGGGGTACATTGCCACCTTTCCCTCTGCAGGGAGGAATCATTAAAACAGGGCCCCACGGCAGGTGGGATGCAGTGGGCAGAGCCAGCTACAGAATTTTCAGGGCCTGGCACAAAAGGAAAACGGGGGCCTCTTCTTCAAAAGACAGGGTAAAGTGGGGATAAAATACCGCAGAGTTAAAGTAAAAAGTGTGTTCCTGCCTTCCTTCTGGGGTGCTTCTTTCAATGTTTTTTCTTGGCTCTTCCGTGTTCCGAGTGGAGACAGCTGGAAGGTTTCAGTCCTCAGTGTGACCTGCACCATCACTCTTTCTTTATATGGTCCCTGCCAGTTTAAGATGCAAATACCAGCACGTTTGACTCATGGGTAGAATCCCTGGACCTGAGAAATCCTGATCCAATGGCTGTGAGTTCCTGTGTAACTGGCCCTTGAAGGAGCAGTGGGCGTCCTGCAAAGCAACCCTGGACCCAGCGTCTGTGTTCCGGAGCTCGCTGTGCACTTCTCCTGCTGTCTGTCTCCAGGCTTACCGATGAGGGAGGAGGGCTGTGGGGCACAGGGACTGCAGGTTATTCTGCTGGCTCCGCTTCCCTATTTCACTCTGGTGTGAGTATCTGACTAAGATGAGAGAGGAATCAGAGGGAGGAAACCCCGTGGCCTGCTCCCTGGGCATTCACTTTTATGCTGTTGCTTTCTTTCTGCTCGCAAAGCAAACTAGCTCAGAGGCAAGCGTGACCTGCTGGGTGTCCAGGTCCAGTCTCAGACACACCTGGCCCTCTGCACCATCTGTGGGTCCCTCTGCACATCCATGTATCACACACACACCACAGCATCTGCATTCACAGAGTGTCACAGGTGGGATCTGCGTGTGGGATACTGAGAAAAGGCAGACACACCTGTGGCACTTCCAGGGCCTCTTGCCCTGCCAGACATCACTTACAAAACCCAGGTTCAGTGATAAAATAATCAAGAATTTCCAGATGGTGACAATGTGTGGCCCTTGAGCATGGGGTCTTGGTGGCTGCTCAGGTCTCAGACCTCCAGGGCCTCAGAGGGACGGAGGGATCCAGGCTCATTAAAATGTTGCCTTTGACACATGAATAAAGGGCGAATTAGGTGGGAGGTTATTTGGGGGAACTGAATAGGCCAAGATGCTACTCGGGGGATCAGTCCAACGTCATGGGGTCTTCTGAATCCCCTGGAGGAAAAGGCCCGAGAGGTATCTCTGAGGTTCCATGGACATGGATCAGGAACTCATTAGTTATGAGTGTCAGATGAGTGACCTGACTCCTTGGGCCTGTGACCCCATTGATACAAGAATGGAATGACCCCTCCTTTGCAGGGTGTGGGTGAGAACTCATAGAAAGGGCACGGTGGTTGATACTGGCTGGTGTGCGAGCATCCTGTGTGCTGTATCTTGTCAATGGTTGAATCCCAAGCACATCTATTGCATGAGTAGGTTAAGCCCATTTCATCCTTGGTGGCATCTGGGATGAATGTGTACTTGGGGTCCGCGACATCAGTGCTGCGTGTTGTTGGGGCCATGTCAAGACACCAAGATGTCCTTCACCATCAAGGTCACCCACTGAGCCAGCTGCCTCCCCAGGGAGGAGGGTTCAGGGTTTGTCTGTGCCTCTGAAGGGAGGGGAGAAGTTCAGAGTTAGGGTGTTAACTGATCACACTAAGAGCTTCCAGGAGCACTGGGGTAATTCAAGCCTCCCTAGCAGGTTAGGTCGTTGTCTTAGTTACTTTTTGCTTGTTGCTGAGACAAAATACCTAAAGCCCAAGTTGAGAAAGGAAAGGTTTATTTCTTATAGTTTTTGGAGGTTTCAGTCCATACTCAGTTGGCTCCAAGGCAGGCTGCCATGACGGGACCACAGTTCATGGCGGCTGGAAACAGCAAGGTGAAAACCAGCTAAAGAGCAAGACACACCTTCTTCCTGCCATTACATCACATCCTGGCTCCACCCCTATGTGGGTGTAGCACTGACATCATCAATCCAAGCACTAGAGAATGAACCAATCACAAACGCACAATGCAATCACATGAGGCCTGGGGGCCACAGACATAAACCATAATAGTCGTGTTTCTTCCTCATTTTGCACTTGAGTAAATTGAAGCATAGACTCTAATACAAAGTGTCAGAGTCCAAAATGTCAGGACAGAGTTGGCCAAATTTGATGCAGCCCACCTCCTGAACCTGTCACCACGTCACTGCTCCACCCCCAAGAAGCCCACGTGTCACAGATGGTATTGGAGAGCAGAGTGACACCGTGACCACCATTGCTCCATCGAATCCCTTCCTGGAGACTGGACAGCTTCCCAAAAGCCAGAATGAAGAGATGCCTTGTTCACTGATTCTGCCAAGGAGAGGCCAAGGAGAAATGTAAGAAATCAGTTTGACATGAAAATGCTGTCTCCTCAAAAAGTGGCCCATTTTTGAAGCCCCTGCAGCAGCCTGCTTGCAGAAACCTTGGTTTCAGTGAGTCTGGGTCTGCATTGGGGTCCAGGTTTAAACTATGCTGGATCCTGCAGGGAGCCTGGCTGCACCGCAGTGCATTCCCCGTGGCCGCCGTTAGAGGGTGCACACCGACCGAGATTAGCCTAGTTGTTCATTCTCCAGGAGGGGCCAGCAGAGGGCGCTCCGAATTGGGAGGGCGTGGCGGCCTACAGGGAGGTTTTCCCCATGTGCAGGAGGTAGAGCCTCACCTCTACAGATCCGGACCAAGTTCCCTGCACTGGGGAGGGGGTCTTTGCAAAAGCATCTCTCAAAATGACCTAGAGTCAAGCACGCGAGAGTTCCAGCTCTTCCCCTCGCTGTGTGGTAGCTCGGTGAACCTCAATCTCCTCCACCCCTAAAATAGGGGTGATGAGCACCCCTAATTGATGCAGGGACCGCAGGAGGCCGCACCTGCAGGTACCACCTGCGCACATGTGCCCAGGCTCCCACGCAGCACCCCGCGTGCAGGCTCCATCCGTGGAGAGAACTGTGCTCTTTTATTAAAGCAAATAATTGCACTGCACAGCTAATCAGCCTGAGCAGCTTTCTGTTACTTGCTGACAATTACAGCCGGCTGTGGATCCAATTATCCAGTATTTGAATTTGACTCTAACCTTGAGCTAGAGGCACAGTCTGTTCTCGGCTGCTCCAACAGCCAGCCTGGTGCCAGCAGACACCTTGTGTAACCCTGAGATTTCTCCCATCAGGCTCAAAGACACCTGGAGCTGGAGCCACAGGTCACAAAGGAAGTCTAATTTCTCCCTAGCCCTCCCTCATCACGGAATGTCACCACACTCTGATGAATATTTACCCAACAGAGCGAGACAATGTGCTGATTCCTGATCCAGCGGCAAACATAACCACCATTTAAATAGGGTTTGATGTTTAAAATCTTAATTTCATTATCTTCTAGCATCTTATAATTGTAACACTGAAGTGCCACTCAGAATATATTTGCGTGTGTAAAGAAGACTTCCTTATTGTTTTTTGGTGACCCAAATGGCTGTAGTTTGACTGCTGAACTCCAGATGAGATTTGCGTTGTTGGGAAAGTGTCATTGGTGTGGTGTGCTTCCACAGCACAGCCTACTCCCTGCAGGAGAGAGAATGGGTGCTGGGCCCACAGGAACCCCAGCTCCCTCACAGGAAGGTGCTGCATCTCAGGAAAACACTCCTCCCCCTGAGTCAGTCTGTAGACCAAGAGTTCCTGCAGAATTCCCCCACTTCCACACCTGCCACAGAGAACCCACTGCAGAATTCTAAGCCTCCATTATTTCTCTGGGGTGGTGACCTGCAGGGAGTTTTCCTCAGGAAGTGCTGGTGCACACATCAGCTAAGAGCAGTCATTTCAGGTGTGGCTGATCCTGCCTGCTGCAGATTTCCAGGTGACTCCTCCTCTGGCAGGAATGTGGCAGGACTGTCACTGTGCACCCTTTAGTCCCAGTGGGTCAGAGGACTGACCCTGGGTGAAGAGGGCACGTGCTGTGCATACAAGAAATCCATGGCAGGCAGACCTGTGTCAACCAAGTTCCTGAAGCACAGCACAAGCTACCATGCCTGCCATCCCTGTGTGCCTTGGAGCCCTGTGATGTCCCTGACTGTGTCCTGCAGCTGCCCTTTGGCCAGTCACTGTCCACTGCATGCCCTTGTGGGGCTGTGCCATCTCCCTCTCTCTGGAGCATTTCCTTCCCCTGGTAACCTGTATCTGCTCACCCCTTCGACTGACACCTGTGACTTGGAGGAGCAGAGGTTTAATTGGCTCCCTCTTTCAGTTCATGGCCAACTGGATCCACAGCAGAAACATCATGGCAGAAGGGCCTGGTGAGCAAAGCTGCTCGGCTCACAGTGGCCAGGAAGCAGAGCAGAGGGGCAGCACCAAAGAGGAAGGGGTGAGAGACCACACAAATCCCCAAGGCTGTGATCCCCCAGACTCACCCACAAGTGTGTTCCGCCAGACTCGAAGCCAATCAAGCAGACACTCCACCCTAAATGCCACAGAGTGGAGGAGTTTGGCTAGACCTGGAGGTCCCCCGTAGACTAGTAATTTAAACACTTTCCCTCGGGCCAAACTGCACCCAGGCTGGACAGCAGCTCCTTGGAAAACACCTGTGAGCCAGGAGGGCTGGGGCTGGCATCGTGGCGGGAGAGCCTGGCTGACCATGGGAACACATGGCGGAAACCACAGGACAAAGTCACAGATAAACTACGTGCTGATCAGCCATGCAGGTGGCTGGACGTACAGCCTGCTCCTCCCTGCGTACTTCAGCTACATAAAGTGTCACTGTATGTGCTGTTACCTGTGTGTGATTGGATTTTCTGTATCTTGCAAAGGTATGAAACCAAATTGATGAATTTCATAATCCTGCGACCACGGGTTCCAATGTTTGGTCTTTATACTTTATAGAGTAGCATCTCACACTGAAGGGAGGGAGAGGAACAGAGGACCAGGCATTACATTGAAAGTTCTAGTGGCGGGGGCTGGGGATTTAGCTCAGCAGCATAAGCGCCTGCCTTGCAAGCAGGCAGTCGTGAGTTCGATCCCTGGTACCGGTAAAAAGGGAAAAGGAAAAAGACAAAAAAAAAAAAAAAAAAAAAAAAAAAAAAAAAAAAAAGAAAGTTCTAGTGGGCAGTAAACCTGAGCCAGGAAGGTACAACGTGATGGATTTCTCATCTGCACAAAAAGTCACTTCCCATGTGGGATTGCCCATGAAATAAAACCGTCTGTTAGGTTTATCTGTCTCTCCCATAGGTGCTTTATAATTAAATAACCACCTTCTAAAGTCTCTGTCTTAGTTACTTTATGCTCGTTGCTGAGACAAAATACCTGAAGCCCAAGTTGGGAAAGGAAAGGTTTATTTCTTACAGTTTTTGGAGTTTTCAGTCCACACTCAGATGGCTCCAAGGCAGGCGGGCAAGGCTGGGCCGCAATTCATGGAGGTTGCAAATAGCAAACAGGAACCAGCAAAGGGCAAGACACACCTTCTTCCTGCCATTACATCACATCCTGGCTCCACCTCTTTGTGGGTGGAGCACTGACACCATCAATCCAAGCACTAGAAAATGAACCAATAACAAATGCACAATGCAAACTCATGAGGCCTGGGGGACAGACATAAACCATAACAGTCTCGCTATTTTAAAAGAAAGTAATTTAAGGAATTTCAGTTGGATGGTGAATTACACGGGCCAGTGGTCTTTGATAAACAAGCCAGCCCTAAACTGATCTACTCGAAAGACCATTTCTAAAGCAATTAGTGCTGAACTGGATTTCCACATGTGAGACCTCATTGGAGGTCCAGAGGACAGCAACTTTGCCCAGGAGGGCTGTCCCCACTTGTAGGAAATTGGCCCCAAAACAAGGTTCATGGCTTCAAAGGACCCTGAGACCTGGACTTTCTGAGGATGAGGGGGTCCAGAAGAGATGCATCGGGGAGACTGCAGGATCCCACCTTCCTTGGGGAGGTGTAGTTGCTTCTAGTGTGGCAGCAGGCGAGGGAGAGAATCACAACGACAGTGGCTCAGCCCAAAACTTGAGGTCTTCCATGTCCGTGAGGAAACCCAGGCCACAGAAATGTCGATCAGTCTCAGAACCCGGACACCGCTCCCATCTGGCACATGGGAAACAGTAGGGCAGACTTCGTGGCACAGAAGACAAAAGTGTTTTTGATCTGAAAGGTTTAAGCATTCTTTGCTTTTGAAAAGACTCATATTCAGAAACACAGACAAGACAATGAGCTGAAAGAAGCATTTCCCAAATGCTAGTGATATTCCGCTTCCTATTAAAGTTAAAAACAAGCAAAGCAAACATCATCCTCAAAAGCCCGTTCTCAGTTTCCACCAAGCCTCACTCACAAAGGTTTGCAGATGGGGGCGGTGTGGCCGCTGTGGAGAGAAACACGGAAATTCCTCAGAAAGTTAACAGTAAAAGCACCGTGTGACCCAGTTGTTCCACATCTGTGTATACACACACTGTACATAGCTCATACACATGTGTGTACATACATATACATGCAAATGACGTATATGTGTATACCACAAAATATATACATCAAGAACAGTAAAATATGTATAAATATTTTAATACTAGATTTATTGAGACATCATGATATTATGTGAGTTGCCTTTGGTCTCTACAATTATAAGAGCACCTCACAGTGAACCTCCAGACATTTATCACCATGGTGAACTGTCATTTGGGTCACCTTGGGCACTGAGACGGCTGCACGTGCATTTTCAGCTTCTTCTCTAGGGCCCGCAGTGCAGTGGGTTTCCTGTGATATGTGACATCCTCTAGGGTCCCCCATACATGGGTCTTAAATCCTAAAGGGACAAGCAGGAAAGATAATGACTACTGGACTAGGGTTCACCCTACCTTAAAATGACCTTATACCCACCCACCCCTATAAGGACCCTGTCTGAGTTACTTTTGTCATTGTCAAGACAAAATACCCGGCACCCATCCTTAAAGGAGGAAAGGTTTATTTGGCTCACAGTTTGTGGAGGTTTCAGTCCACAGTCTGCTGGTTTCAAGGCAGGGTGGTGAGGCCAGCAAGCAGGAGACAGAGGAGCAGCAGCAGCAGCCTGTATTCTTCCTGTCCTTTTGTGTCACATCCAGGCTGCAGTCCTGTTGCTCGGTGCCACCCACAGCCAGGACGTGGCTCTCTCAGTCCCAGCACCAGGCTCTTCATCCCACATTCACACACATTAGTCCATCAGCCACCTTCAAAACTCCACACATAAGGGTGCAGGATGGGGGGACATCCAGAGGACCCCAACAGGCTCTTTCCCTTCTTCCAGTCCTGCTGCCTTGTCTGTGGGGCGAGAGGACACAGTATTAAAGAAGAGAGACCGGGGAACCCAGGCTGCACTCTGGGCAGATGGCAGCGGTTATTAACCCGCCTGGTGGCTACTTTAGAACACCCACAGCTCCTGCTTAGACGGAAGTACTTTTTGCGCCAGGTTGAAATTGGTCTCAGCTCAGAGATCTTTCAAATTGAGATTTCTATGTGAGGTCCTGGAGCTTTGTGAGGATGCCGAACCTTATGAGAACTGCCGATGGTGGCCCTCCAGGGTCTGGCACGTGGAGACCAGGGCTGCTTCCACCCTCAGCCACCCAGTGAGCACTGTGCTGCCCTGTCATCGCCTCCTGTGACCACCATCTCAACACTGCACGCATAGGGTGGCATGAAACAACAGACATGTCTTCCTCCCTGCACTGGAGGGTACACAGCTGGAGCTGAGGGGACCAGGCTGAGCCTTCCCGAACCGGAAGGTGCTCCTTCGGGGTCCTCCCAGCTTCTGGTAGCTGCCAATCATCTGCAGTTTCCTAGCTTGCAGATATTTAACTTCAACCTGCAGCCTTTGTCACTGCATGATTCTCTCTCTCTCTCTCTCTCTCTCTCTCTCTCTCTCTCTCTCTCCCTCTCTCTCTCTCTCTCTGTGTGTCTGTCTGTCTGTCTCCACCTGGTCATCTCCTTATAAGGACACCAGTCACACCACATAGCCTCATCTTAACTGATGGCATCCACGCAGGACCTGTTTCCAGAAGTTTCTTTTCTGGGGTGTTAGGGGACAGAATGTCCACACATCTTTCAGGTAAGGATGCGATGCAATCCACAGATGTTTACCCTGTGGCCTTCTAAAGGGTGCATTCTTCCATCACCGAGCAGCACACCCCAAGGTCCCCTCAAAGTGCTGACCACTCCATGGTCAGACAGCTCACCCAAGCCACCTTTGAAGGAGATGTGGGCACAGTTCGCCCAGGGCAAGACTCCTCTCCATCCGTGACCTGAGAAATCCAGGACACGAGCCACCTGCTGAGACACGGGGTCAAGGCCTGTGCACCCCACCCCCTGGTGGTTCTGCCACCTCAGAAGCCTCGTCCTTCTCTGCACAGACCTGCTGAGGAGCAACAGGAGGAAATGGAAGAGGATGTGTCACCCGGGAGGCAGCACATGCCACTTCTGCTCTGGTTCAGGCACAGCTGCGGTGCCGATGTGTCACAAGAGGAAAGCAGCAGGGAGGAGGAGGGAGGAGACACACAGTGGTGGGCACTGGCAGCTTCTGCCACAGGATCGGGTGCCCAGCAGAACCACCCCCTGCACCGGACTGGAGCTCTCTGCCAGAGCCCGGCCCATGTTCTAAGACCTCAGATGATAGCAGAGCCACAAGAGGGGAGGGGTCTGGGTCTCTGAGCAGCCGCCTTCTGCCCGCCTGATCCCTAGCACCTGATGGGCTGGACTTACATGAGAAATGAGTCCAGTCCACTTTTTCTTTTGGCTCCAGCCACCAAGGCTTAGGGCTGCCTGTTGTTCAAGCTGACATTCGCTGAACAACACAGGGCAGCACTGGCAATACCGCGTCCATGCAGAGCTCAGCTGCAGGCTACAAAGAAAAGAAAAAAGAAAAAACTCCAAGCATCACTTAGGAGCTAATTCTATTATCTCCAGTTTCAAGTCATTAAGGGATTTAAAAGCTCCCGAGGGCTCATCCTAACCACGCCATCCTCTAATGCCTATAATATTGTTACTAACCGAGTGAGAGTTATCAGACACACTGGGGACAGAGATAAAACAAATCAAAATATTGAACACAGGTTTAGTAATGGACCTTTTTTACAAAAGCCTTGTAACCTTCAACCAAGATATGCATCGAACTGATTTATGACCTGCTTCACTAAGTGTCAAAATGTTTGCACACTTACACCCTTTCTTGTTAAAGAAAATCTTTTGTGGTCTTCTTTATGGGTCATTAATGTATATTAAGCCAACAAAGGGAAAATTGTTCTGACCTTTATTCTGATATGTGACTTAACATAAATAGGGATGAGTCTTGGATGTATATTTTCTTACAGCTGCAAACCAACCTGTCTCTCTCCTAGAGGCTGGTAGGAAGGTTAGTGAAATAGCTTCATAATCAATGCTTCCCTGGGAATGAAATTTTTAATTCAATTTTCCTCATTAAAGTCTGCTATTCATCTGTCCCCAGAGAAATTATTGAAAGGAATTTTTTCAGCTACCAAAATAAATATATTGAAAGACTGAAGAACTAGCTCTAATCGCCCATGTAATTAATATTAATGTTTATGAGAATGGAATGTGTCTAACCTAGACAGCTATTCTATTTCATCTCCTTTGTCTTCCTGCCCACTCATCCTCTTTGCTGAGGGAGGTGGCAGCTTAAGCTGCTCTACACGGCTGAAAATATGTTCGCTGTGGTTTAGGTCTAAAATGTCTCCAGAAATCTCATGCATTCAGAGGCGATGCTTCTGGAAGGCGGCAGGGACCCTGGAGCCCTTTGCTCCTCCTGATTGATGAGGTCACAGCTGAATGTGACACTCACAGGCGGGGCCTGATCAGAGGAGGTGGGTCCCCGCCATGCCCTTCCACCATGATGTTCCTGGCTCGGATACAGTCAGCCACGGACTGATCCCCAGAACCAAGAGCCGGACTGCACCTCTCCTTTTATAAACTGTGAGTGTCAGGTGTTGTGCCCCAGGGATGGGAAAGCTAAGGAACGTGATACACATGTAAACCGCATCCTACGATTTCTTGACATTAGTACAATACTAACAATACTGTTCAGGATGGAGAAAGCCTACCTCCCTGAGGGACTAGCAAATTCTCAGGGAAGGTAAAGGGCTTGGCTAGGAGCCCATAAAACAAACAACCCTGGGGTAACTTCCTTCCTCTGGACACCCTGGAACCCTTATGGAAACTCTGCCATCCTGTAGGACTCAGCTCCCCTCACCCTGTGGTCCTGCCACTCTTTATGCCTCAGAGACTAAGCCTTGATTCTCTTCCTCTGGCCAGGAGATTAAGGAACAGAGGGTGTAAAAAAGGGCCAGTGACAGACTGAAAACACGCACCTTGCACCAGTGATGGAGACTCAGTCTATGGAAGCTGAGGGCGCCAGTGAACCAGACTTGGAGAACACAGTGGCCAAGCTTCATGACCCAGCAGCCAGTGTTCTCCAGCGCATCCTTACCCATGCCTGGGAGGAGACGCCGTGAGGGCAGCTCTCGCCGCTGTGTCTAGCTGGTGATTTATCGGACACCAGCTGTTTCCCTCCTGGTGTGTAAATTAGATCTGAACACACTCATCAGACATACACTGTGATTACTGCTCCTCTCACGAGTTTGGAGAACTCAAGTGTGAGTCAATATCTGTAAAGCCTGAAGCCAAAATCAGATCAGATAACTCCTGCAAAAGAAAAGTGGAAACAAAATTATTTGGTATTATTTTTTGGAGATGCATGGATAAGAAATCATGTTATGTGAAATCACAGTTCCCTCTGAATGTGCAATGGAGCTTTCTGAACCCGCAAACCTTGAAACCACTCCCGTGGGAACAGCTAAAAGCAGCCTTGTCTATGGAGGCAAAAAGAATTAACTTCAGAAGTGGCAGAGACCATGGAGGTGACAGAGCCGTCCTCCCTTGGCTCTCACAGGAGGAGAAGGCAGTCAAAATGGTCACAAATGTCCAGAGCCATTGGCAGAAATGGGTTTCTAAAAAGTTTTCATTCATCAGCTTTGATCTGAAATCTTTATTATGGCAAATGGTGGGTGTTAGATAAAGACACCTCGCGTCCCTCCATGAAGCACCAGTGATGCTTTCAGCCCATTTAGTTGGTTAAGTGTTCATGGATTAAAAGCCTTTTAATAATATCTGATGAGAAGCCTTTCTCTTCCAGAGCAGTGTGGTAGCAAAAAAAAAAAAAAAAAAAAAAACAACAACAACAAAAAACCAAACCCCCCCCCAAAAAAACAAAAACAAAAACAAACAAACAAACAAACAAAAAACAGAAAGAAAAAAGAAAAAAAATAAAAGAGAAATCATGGTGCAAACCATTATCTGAAGTCTGATCTGGAAAAATAAGGGCCTTGGCTTTATAATGTTAGGGGTAGGCAGGTGGGCTCGGCCCCAAACCACTCAGAGTACAGTTTCATTTGGGAAGAAACAAGGGCTCAGATGTTTACCTGGAGTTCAAGATCAACGGAACACGCTTCTGCCCCACTCACCAAGGGGCAGTTTTAACTCTTCAGACACCAAGCAGCAGCGATCAGGTTGCCAGGAGCCATTGGCAGACGGCTTGGAGGGGTCAGAGAGGAGGTGGGGAGCTCCCGGTTGGGCAGACACGAGATGCGATCAGAAAATGCAGCATGTATTTAAATTGTTAAAATGGATACAGTAAAAGGCAAACTCTCTCAAACCCTCCCGAGTCGCCCCTCCCACCCTGCTCTGGACAAACTCACCCCCATTCCTGCCACTCCGAGGTGGGTGTGGAAGCTCTCGCTCAGGTCTTCCGCTGCCTTGTGGGCACCGCTGCCTCCACAGCTCACTTCTGCAGTTATCCTTTCTTTGGGGAAGAGCCGGACCCGGAGAATAAGGTGGATGATGACCCACATCGTGTTTCTCGGTGTCCACCTCTCTTCCAGGTGGCACCTAGTAGGGGCATTCACCGTGTGTGATCTCATCTCGCAGATACCTGTGAAAGAGTATTTCCAGAGCTGCTCTGGCAGAGATGAGAGCAGCACATGAGTGAGTTCACAGTGAGGAGGAGAGGAGACTTGAAGGGAACTCATGGCAATGGGTCTTCCACTGGAATAATGATTTTTTGTACCAGGGATCGAGCTCAGGACCTTGCACTTGCCAGGCAGGTGCTCATGCCGCTGAGCTGTATCCCTGGCCTGTAATAAGTATTTTAAATATAAACACCATATTTCTCATTATCTCTCATAGTTAAGAGGCCACAGTGGGGACCTAAAGGTGTTCTGCTTCCAGATGCAAAAGAGCCACCGCCTCCACCAACACCTCACAACTCCCCCTCATGGGGCTCCCAGGACAGCCACGACCCCACAAGGGGTGAGTGACTGTCCTCGGGGGTCTCCGTGTGAGCCGCCCGCCCCTCCTGAGCTCAGGCGCTCAGAGTGCCTGAGTCTCTGCTGAGGGCCTAATGGGGACCCAGCTCTCCTCTGATGGAAGTAGCATCGCCCCATTCACTGACATGACTCCTCTCAGATGCATGTGAAATCTCCCTCTCCTCCCTCCCCACATTTCCTGGCCTCCCTCCTTCCTCTCCTTTCCCCTCTCCTCCTCCTTCAGCATTGACTTCTCCTCTATGTCTGTTTGCAGGTAACCACACTCTGACTTCGAAGTCTTCTAAACCTTTTCCTGAAAGGTCGCCTAAGGGTGTGCCCTTTCCTGGGGTCGGGAAACCAGATCCTGTACCCTTTCTCATCACCGTTTCCTCTCCAAATCAGAAGCCACCCAGATCCATCTAGAATAATAAGTAAAACTCAAAGCTAGATACTGAACACAGACCAAGACTCGCTGGCACCAACACACATCCAAGTACACACATGCACACAGGTGCACACACCACAGGCCTGAACCTGAGAAGAGCATTTCCAGCCCAGTGCCTGAGCTCCTTTCAATATTTACCTAAAAACAGTGCAAGGCGTTCGGGATGCAATGTAAGAAGCTTTAAGCTGACTGACTTCCTGGAAGCTTTCTCCTTAAGACTGTTTCTGTGCATGCTCTGTAGAAGTCCTGAGGTTTCCCCCTTCTGGAACTAAATGTCCCCTGCTTTCACAGTGGTGCTCCTGACGCACATGGGAGATGAGCCTGAGGACGGGAAAATACACCTGTTCATTCTCCACTTTCTTTCCCGGGTCAGGATTGTGGACCCAGGACTAAACCGTGACGCCGCAGTGGAAGCCTGACTTTCAGTCTGGCACGAAATAAAAGAATATCACTTAGCTAATCTGAACTCACAGAGGTAGCAACCCTCGAGTCACATTTCTCCCAATTTCACCGACCTTTGACTCTGGGACTTGGGTCTCAGGAGCCCCTGCCCATGAGTCAGGATGCCTGAAGCTGGGACTGCTCTTGTCCTGGCCATGGTGACACTGCTTTCTGCTTCAAGAACAGAGGCGGCTCTCTGTGTGAGGGATACATTCCTGCAACCAGCAAAAGCAGCCCAGTTCTCCAGAGTGACACTTGCCTAGTGAAGCCCCATGGGAGTACACGGGTATGACAGGAAGCCGTCACGCCTGTCACATGGAGGTCACCACTGCACAGGCTAGTGAGACTGAGGGAGGGGCAGCGCTGCGAGAGCACTCCTGGCCTTCCCCAATTTCCGAGGTGCTGGCTGCTGAAACCCAAGTGCGCCTTCACTCTCCTTTGCATGAGATGAGCATCTCTTCCTGCAGGTGTTCATCTTAGTTCAGCTGACTCAGGGCAATTTCTGTAGGACTTCCGTGGATGGGCAGGGGTACTAAAAGGAGGTCAAAGTAGACAGTGAAACCAGTGCCAGCTGACAGTGGTCCTGCCCTGAGCTGTGGATCCCAGAGGCTGACATCTTAAAGGATTGGTCCTGTGGAAGGCAGAGAAGCCAGGAGTCCAGAGAGGACCAAGAAGACTTCCAAGGCCAACACTGGGAATAATCAGGACCCTGCCAGCCTCACTGTTAGCAGGAGGAGCTCAGCCTTCTGCAACCCCAGACCTAATGCTCCCCACAGGATCCACCACTGAGCCCTTGATGAAAACTGCCTTCCATGGAGAGAGAAGGCCCCAAGTCCTCCTTAACTGTGCAAAAGCAGGCTGTGTCAGGAGCGCCAACTCCACGGTCCAGGCTGCATCCTCTTCTTCCTTGCCCACGGGGGCTGCCTCCCACCAGCTCTCCCACTGCCCCTCCCAGGGCTACGGCAAGTTCCCAGAGCATGGCTCTCCTGCTGCCTTTCCCAAGAGCTGACAGGGGAAGGGGCTGCCCATCCTGGGGACAGGGTTAGAATTTACACGTGGAGATCTCGGAGGGTGATGTCTGAGTGTCAGGGCTGTCGTGAGTGATGACCAGAGCCAGGGTCCACAGCAACTCACGGTGACCCCAGGGCCCTGCCTTTGGCAGGTGGCAGTGAACCAAGGTCAGCCTGCTAAGTCCAGCCTGCATCCCCTGTGAAGACTTGGTCTCATCTGGTGACGTCCTAAGAGATATAAAAGTTCGTCCGGGAAAGCTGGAAGCCTCACTGCAGTCGCCGAGCTGCAGGTTTTTAGGCCCCTCTGCGCCTCCATTTGTGGCCGATTCTAAGATGAAAGTGCATCCGTGTCCTTGGGCTCGGTAGCTACCTGCGACGGAAGCCCACAGTCTCACCATCTAGAGGTCAGCAGCCCAGAATCGAGGCACTGGCAGGGTCCCCGCAGCCCCACTTCAGGTGCTACAACCCTTGATGTCCCTGAGCTGCAGTCTGTCCCTGCCATCTCTGCATCTGTCCTCACCTGGCCTTCTCTGGGTTCCTCTGGGGACACTGAGCACTGGATTCCAGATTCACCCTAAGCCAGCGTGAGCGCATGCGCACAGGCATGAACACAGCTCAGCCCACAGTGTCCCCTGCAGGAATCCAGGTACAGCGTGGGGGTCCTCATTCCTGCTCCTCAGGGAACTGCACACAGAGACCACGTCATCTAATTTCGGGGGGGGGGAGGGGGAGGTGTGGAGAAAAAGCAAACAGAATCCTCCCAGCCAGGATCTGCCCAGTGTGGGTCCAGTCCTGAGTGTTCAGCTCAGCCTGCCCCGCCCCAGCCGCCCACCTCCTCTCAGAGAACTCAGGTTTCCAAGTCTACAGCTTTGGGGCCTTCTTCAATGCTGGGGATCAGACCGGGGGAGAAGGGCAGACTCCATCCTCCCTGCTGTCCCCTGGCATTGAACCCCCGCCTTCTCCCACAGGACCTCGAGGTGCACTGAATCTCACATTTCTGGACGTGCCCACGTCCCCTCCTGTGCAGGTACAAATGCCCCGGCCAGGGAGTTTGATGCTTTGTCTAGTGTGTATGTGAAGCCCTGACTTTATGTCTGCAAATCTAGACTGAGCGTCTGCAGAGGTGACGCCCTCCAGGCCAGCAGCCTCCTGCCAGGCGACTGCGTGGTTCCAAGTGCCCTCGGCCACCGCACTTCCGTCTGGCTGCAGGGGTGTCCAGGCAGCGGGGGAGGAACTGTCCGAAGGGTGTGTCTGTGCTTTGTTCCACACTTACAGCAGTTTCTTTCTGTCTTATGAAAATTCTGGATCAAGCCAGGAGAATGCTTGCAGGGGGCCTAATGCTGAAATCCAGATTTCCTCATTTGATGTTGTGCTGGAATCAAATCTCACAGCTCATATTTGCCTCTGTCACATCTCAGTTGTTAATCTCGGTGTAACAGGCTTTCTTTTTCAGTGCTGGGTTGAGCCATGGACTTGACCATTCTAGGCAAATACCCTCTCTCCTGAGCTACACCCCCAGCACCCACATTTCTAGTCCATTCTCTTTGTTACAGGGAGGAACAAAGGAAGGAAGGGAGGGGGGAGGGGAGGAAGAGGAAGAAACGGAAGCAACCTAAATACTGACCAAGAGGAAACTGCTAGAAAAACACCCCTGAGACAGCGCCCTGCAGAGTATTGCCAGCAGTTCTGAGCAAACGTTCGTGGGCCCACATCACTGCGACCCGGTTCTCTCATCACCTGCCCCTCTCTCCAGTCCCCACTCTGCCCCTCCATAGAGACCCCTGCATTTATCCTGAGCCACTTGGATGGTCCAGAGCCACCTCCTCGTCTCAATCCTTAGGCTCAAAAATTCCGGGACCACTTCCAGAGCAATATTCTGCCCACCCCAGGCGCTGCCCAGCCCCGTGGCTGCAGCAGCCATGAAGAACCTGGCAGAGAGGCTCGCAGTGCCTGCGGGACAGTCAGGGAGACCCCGGCCACTGCTCCCTCTTTCCACTTAACCTGCTCCAGCACGGTGACACCCTTCTTGCTGCTCATTAAAAGCCTGCGTGGGAAGACCCAAAGTGACATCACTGCTCGTGTGCCCCGAGAACAGGCTGCCCACGCCCTCTGGGGCAGCTCTGGCCACACAGGCATTGGAAGATGCTCAGATCGTGTTGGTGTCCATAGTGTCAAGTGGGCCCCACAAGTCCAGTGTGTGTGCTTCTTTGAACAACACAGAATTTCAGACTGCTAAAAATGATTTTCTCCAGTAACTGTCTTCTGATAGCTTGACCTGAAAATGACTTCCACAGAGGTGAGCCAAGGCAGCGGCTCCTGCTGGGTGTCCCTCAAAGCTGGGCACACAGACCTGAGCCATCTTCGAGCTTGGTGACCAGCGGGGGAGCCGCGGGGACTATGAACACTCACTCATACCTGGCCGGGAATGCAGGGCCTGTAAATGGAATGTGTTTGTATAGACTTCTGCCATTTCCATGAAATGGCAAAGCTTCCACGCCTGTGATTTCCCAGACCGGGTCTTCACCAGGTGACCCTCTCAGTAACTGGTGCCACCATTTACGGATTAGGAATCGTCTTCCTTTTCCTGTTTTTCACAGCCAAGCCAACTACAAGTCATGGTCCCAGCATACAATGCAGTCCATCTCCTCTGCCCTAGCCAGGCAGTGGCCCCTCCAGGCCATCCCCTCTGCTCCCAGCCCCGCCTCACTGCACCCCCCTGCAGCAGCTGGTGGAGCCTGCACCCCCCTCCCCCCGCCCGCCCATTCACACACTCTGCTCCAGAGCTGGCCCTGTGTCCTTCAGCTCCCTCCTCCTACACCGCACCCTTAATCCCTTGCTCTTCCCCAAACCCAGCAGGCCAGGCCCTGACAGCCCCACAGCCCAGCAGGTGTCCTTTGTGCTGGCCTGTGTGTTTGTTAGGTAAATGCCCAGAGAGGAGAGACTTCTAGCCTTAAACCTGGACAGGCTCTGTCACAACCACTCATCTCCGGTCTTGTCACATGGACACAGTCACGGGTGATAAGGATGCTGATGACAGGTGCGGTGTGGCCACACAGCTTTACTGGGGACTGGAATTTGGCACCCAGTCATGGTTCAGGACATGACGCTATTATTTCCCTCGTAACAATGGAAGAACACCTTGGCTCACAGGTTGTGATTTTCCCTTCCGGTCAGTGACCTGCCAAGGCTGCCCATGGACCTGCTCAGGGACCAGGGCCCTGCCGAGGGTATCAGCATGGCCTCCTTGAGACAGGAGCCCTCTCAGCATCGCCACCTTGCGTCACCTCCTGCATTGCAATACTGAGCGCCCACCACCTGGAGATGCTGATTATCTGTCTCAGGGCTGAGCACCTAACCTTCCTGTGCCTTTTTTCCATCAGCCATGCTCTGAAGACAAAGATGAGCAGAGTCCCTGCCTCTTAGAATAGCGGGAGAACTTGAAAAGTGGATTCATTTGAAAAGCCCTAGGGAAAGGGCCATGGCATGCAGGAACCCTGTGGCCTCTTCCTGTTAGTGACCCACGCCTTCCTCCTCCTCTGCCCTGTGGTCCTCGGGGGACAGAGCCATGTCTGGTTTAGTCACCACTGTGTGATCAGCACTGGCAGGTGCACCCTGAGGAAGATGCTGGATTCCTGCTGGTCAGGTGAGTCCTGGACTCCCTGCGTGAGCTCGGCATTTGCCGAGATGCAAATACATTTGTCAGAAATGGTGACCAAGGCTGTGGGCTCCTTCCCGGGACACAGCTTTCTTAAAACTGAACTTCTCATTGACTTTGTGAATTTTCCGAGGGTCCAGCAACCTCGGTGTCTGGTTTGCTTTACTTCTCTCCTTATTTGGCCTCTAACTTGCAAAACAAATGTCGCCTATTGG